ATGCCAACAGAAACGTGTTCATTCTACGTAGTACTAAAAGACAATGTTGTCGGCGTGTTGCTGGGATACAGCAATTATGATCCTGATGAACTGTTTAAAAAGGAATAGCAGTTAAGAGCTTATCGGAGCAGCATAGACACACAATGATAGTAGCTTCATGTTCATTTCTCTCGTTTTGAGCTGTCTGTGAAAAAGAAAAATAGAATCTTGCACCGCGTTATCTGTGGCTTGTAGGGACACCATAATTGCTTGGCATAGACAGACGTCATGAACCGAGGCCTGTGCCATGTCCATCAGTATCGCAATCTTACGTCTTAATTGAAAGAACTCTCATGTATACATCGTCTTCAGGGGTGAACAAATTGTGACATAGGTTGAAAATGTCGATTCAGTGATGTATTGATGTTATGCAATGTAGAGCTTTCACAGAGGCAAACAAAATATGATACTACATAAGAACAACTAATATATATTGCTTTAACTTTAGATGTATTGCAAGTGCAGACATTAAGAGAATATTTACGACGAATGAAAGATGCATATATTGTAGGAGTAATATGCAAAACTAATGAAGAAAAGGTGCCACAAAGATACAAAATAGACTAAGTTAAAGAGAATTGTTAAAAAATTGTGTCGTGGTTTTAATCACTATCTTCGAACATATACTTGGGGCGTTATACTGAAATGAGCCGAAACTGTTTTATTTGAAATCTTTGCCTACACATGGTCCATAATAATTTTTCTATTTTATTACATTCTGTCTAACATTTACAGTTGAAATACAGTCATTAGTTGATCTTTGATGCAATTTATCCTTTGGATTTTAAAACAGTGTTTAAGCTTGGATTGAATGGTTACGCATTGATACTGATTTATGAAACTACGACACAAGAAAACTGATAGTGTTTAGAATATGTTTACAGATTTTCTGTGAGATCATAATTAGAGGATTTTATTAAATTAATACGTTTTTCACCCATAATTAGCCTAAACAATAGCGGTACCTTTAAAATCTGTTTTTGATACCAATTTGGAACTCACTTAATCAGTTTTTCCGTGTTATCATTAAAATATACAATTTATTATGGTTTTTCAGAAAAGGTTTTCCAGGTTGTGTGTAAATTATCTTTGTCTGACAATTAATTGGATGGTTGAATTATGTTCCTTGGTGACTTATGTCTGAAGATTCGAGATTGACCACCGCAGTATTTCATCCATCATATTAATTTGAAGTTTCATTCGAATCACAATTGGATTTGCTGCGACAATAAGAGATAATGACTGGATGCAATCCACCTTATAAGGAAGCAGATAATTGGCTCTGTGAGGAAAATAACTAACAGGTTTGTGTACAGCTAACACTGTACACTTGGAGTGGTATATTAACTGACGTGTTCAGTCCGCGTATATACTTTATCTGTTGCCTAGATTTTGGGTACTTCGTGGATTTCTCTGTTCCGTTTAGAGAAGAGAATGATATTATCTTGATACATATTTCATTCACTTCCTAAATTATATTTGCTCATGTTTAATGAGCTTTACATCATACGACGCTATTTTACAGTTTAAAACCTATTTAACAGGTCCTCAGCTTCCTATCTATCAGTCAGGAAGTGTGTTAAAATAAAACCCAGCTATTAATACTAATGGGGGAGTGCCCCGTCTCCATACGTCTGACGAACGCGGAAATAATGTGTTATTTAATACTTATAAATATTTTTGGGACATTCTATATATGGCTATATGAATATGTATACTTGTCCTGTAAGAATGCAAGCGTATTGAAACAAATGTTGAATAAAATTATCGATGATGAACTAGCAAATGCGTATTACGAAGGATAAGATAATGCCTTTAAGCAATTTCTTGTAAAAAAATCGAGGCACTGGTTTGGAGTGTTTCCGCCACAGTAACATAACTTGAAATCACACAGATTATACGTACATTAAACACATATGTAATATATTATGTGAATTGCACTTTAATATACCGTCATCTCGTAACTTGCCTGCAGTATTTTAATTCAGCATTATAAGTTTCTGTATCAGACCTGTGATAAATATACATATGTATGCTAAACACAATTTTTGTTCGAGGTTTTCTGTGTAAGATAATGTAGCAGCTACATATTTGTCGTCTTACTTCATAGTAATTACTTTGATATACAATTTACATAGATGGATTTGGCATTGTCATTTATAATTTATATAGCAAACAAAATAGCTTTTCCTATTTTTATCTTTTATCAAATCTGTTGTTCAATCTGCACTCTTTTAATTGGTGACCGCTGATTGCTGAAGTGTGGGCCTGTCATTGCTCTATGAAGGCCATAAGCAAGGAGCTGACTACTCGCAGTGAAGAGATTATTTGTGTAAGATTTGAGGTTTTCACAGCGGTGAGTATGAAGATTTCCGTCTTCTGGGTTGTTGCGCTGTGTAGTCTGGTCGACAGCGCAACAACCCAGAAGACGGAAATCTTCAAGAGATTATTTGTTTGCATAGCAACCGATCTGAAGATAAGAAGATTTGTAACGACAGTAACAGTTCAGATTAAAGTCAAGAAAAAGTTAAAGCAGTTCAAATTCATGTAATTCTTACTACCATTGAGGTCTACATATTTTATTTTCCAGTCATCTATATAAGAAACAATATTAAAATATACGAAATATAATTTTACCCGTTTCTGCGTGTAGGTTTGATATCCACTTTGGTACTCACAAAGGCTGAGGGTGTCTGAGTCAGGTGCCAAAGACATTTGGATCTAAGAGTCAGAAAGTAAGAGGAAAGATTGCATAATGAAGGATTTTATCATATTTAAACGCATTTTTCCACAAGATTATGTTCAAAGCAGGAGGAAATAATAAATGAAGTAACATGAAAATATTGTATGTTAAATAACTAGGTGTGAATGTATGTATTACGTTCAACTTATTCATGACAGGGACCAGTGGCGGGTTATTTTGAACACAGTAATTAACCTTAGACTTCATAAATGGCGGTGGATTTATTGACTGGCTGAGCCACTATTAGTGTTGATGAAGGGCTATGCAGGACCGTGCAGTTGGTAATTTGTGGTCACTGCATAGGTTCACAAAATATTAGTAAATAAAGCTTGAAGATAAATATAATAAATTCTAATCGTTGTTGTAAAATTGTAGGGTGTGTAACAAGTAGCCTATAGTGTTAATGGTATAAAGGGAGCCACAGTTTGACAAAGAAGCAGTAGCAACATAACCGATGAGGTGGCAGTGCAGATTTAATCATCTCACTGATATCTGATGCAGTTCTTAACTTATTATAAACACTGTGTTAACAGGACAGACAAATTAGTAAATTAGAGCGATTCTCAAATTGTAAATGTTCTCTCTAAATATATTTTTAAAGTAAGTCTTGAAAAGTAAACCTAAATGCTGTATTTGAATGAATTGTCTTGCTCAACTAATTTATTTGTTTGCATAGCAACCGATCTGAAGATAAGAAGATTTGTAACGACAGTAACAGTTCAGATTAAAGTCAAGAAAAAGTTAAAGCAGTTCAAATTCATGTAATTCTTACTACCATTGAGGTCTACATATTTTATTTTCCAGTCATCTATATAAGAAACAATATTAAAATATACGAAATATAATTTTACCCGTTTCTGCGTGTAGGTTTGATATCCACTTTGGTACTCACAAAGGCTGAGGGTGTCTGAGTCAGGTGCCAAAGACATTTGGATCTAAGAGTCAGAAAGTAAGAGGAAAGATTGCATAATGAAGGATTTTATCATATTTAAACGCATTTTTCCACAAGATTATGTTCAAAGCAGGAGGAAATAATAAATGAAGTAACATGAAAATATTGTATGTTAAATAACTAGGTGTGAATGTATGTATTACGTTCAACTTATTCATGACAGGGACCAGTGGCGGGTTATTTTGAACACAGTAATTAACCTTAGACTTCATAAATGGCGGTGGATTTATTGACTGGCTGAGCCACTATTAGTGTTGATGAAGGGCTATGCAGGACCGTGCAGTTGGTAATTTGTGGTCACTGCATAGGTTCACAAAATATTAGTAAATAAAGCTTGAAGATAAATATAATAAATTCTAATCGTTGTTGTAAAATTGTAGGGTGTGTAACAAGTAGCCTATAGTGTTAATGGTATAAAGGGAGCCACAGTTTGACAAAGAAGCAGTAGCAACATAACCGATGAGGTGGCAGTGCAGATTTAATCATCTCACTGATATCTGATGCAGTTCTTAACTTATTATAAACACTGTGTTAACAGGACAGACAAATTAGTAAATTAGAGCGATTCTCAAATTGTAAATGTTCTCTCTAAATATATTTTTAAAGTAAGTCTTGAAAAGTAAACCTAAATGCTGTATTTGAATGAATTGTCTTGCTCAACTAATTAGCAGTAAATAAAGTATTCTATGAGGGTCTCTCTGAATCCTAAGACCGGTTAATACGTGCAACATTACAGAAACATTGCAGTGCTGAGTTAATATGCGGGAGGTGGAGTATGTGATGAAATTTCTTTAATGAGCAAACTGTGGTTTCAAAATGTGGCCTGTAGCCTCCCCTCTCCATGCAGTTATATTGCACCAACTGCATTTACCCAGATTCATGAAATATGAAGTCCAGGCCAGTTATATTACCCCTCTTATCGTTTCCTTATTATGTTTTACGAAGTTAGGATTAAAATTTAAGGAAAGAGACTGGACATAAATGGGATAATACTGCTGAAGTGGATTTTAGAGAAATAGCGTGTGATGGTGTAGACTGGATGGAGGCTGCTCAGAATAGTAACCTATGAAGGGCTTTTGTGAACACAGTATTTAACTTTTAGATTCAATGACGTAGAAACAGATAATTTATTGAACGTGAGAATAATTATCAAGTGTTGCATCGTGAAGTGAGGTTATCAACCAATGGAAAGTATCCTTTATGAAAATAATTTAGAATTTCCCTTGTATGTTTCGTAGAAGTTGAGGTTTGTTTCTTTACTTGTAGGAGTGTACTTGGACAGCATACTGTTCCATACGAAAAGATATGAGATCACGTTTGCAACATCCACTATACCATGTTTTCAACCCATCAGCTGGTGAGTACCGATGACCTCGATTGAAATTTAATCATAAATAACATGGCTGAAATCACTGCATTCAAAATTAACAAGTCGTGATGTACCGTGTGTTTAAATTATTTTTCTAACGCAGTCGGCCTCTGTATGGTGTAACAGACTGATAATGCACCGCGTGTGGAAGCCTCTGTGTTTTGCATGGAAATGACATAACATGTTCAGATGAAAGAAAATTATCTGATGAAGCACACAGGAACTTGCGCACGAACTGATTTCAATATCCAAACAAGTTTCTTTGTTTACGTAGATGAATGCAGTCACTTACATTCTAGACTCATCACTATGAGGAAAATGTTGTATAATCACTGTGATGTTAAATGCCATGTAAATTGTATTATTATTTCAAATGCCATGTTTTTAGATCTTAGAAGACAGGAAATATTATAGATAAGGCCGGATAGGGAGAAACTGGTTTAATAATGGAGAAGTTTTTTATAGTCTTATATAATATTTTTATATGAAGACTTGGGAATATTACACATGAAGAACACTGGTGATTTTTTCAGAAATAATTGTAATTACGACAAAGAAGTTTATTGTGTATTGGACATGCAAGTCGGATAAAATAGACGAGTTTCAAAACGCGCATTTATTTATTTAGGTTGTAGGAAACTGCGCGCAGAAGTTTAAAATAAAAAAGAACATAAAGAAGGTATTAGATAATCTCAGAGCTAATGATGGCACAACTGCAAAAGATTGCTACTTTTTGTTTGTGTGCGACACGGAAGGAATTTAAATTACGTTTTCACGGTGGCGATTGTGGTATCAATAAATGCAAAGGAGGATGTAATGGTGCCTATGGTGTGGTCTGGCGGAGACTGCGATTGGCAGGAGTCTGAATCTGGAGTGTAGAGTCAGGAGGTCAGTTTTCTATTAGTGCGTTTTGTAGAAATCTGGCATCAGTCGCCATGAAATTTTTTTATTATTTTGTTTGTAAAGAAATTTTATAAATGTTATTTCAACGCGATCTGCAAAGATAATGCTACATACATTGTACTACTTTTCAAGACAAAAATGTTTCATATCCGTCAACTTCATGAGTTATATTACGATAGTAATTTAAGTAAAATGGAACTTTACTCATTTGCACCGAGCTAGATTTCATTGTTTCTTTTGAGTAGCGATAATAATGTGACGCGTTTTGACATGGTTAAATTATGTATAGAATGCACCAAAGAAAAATAACGATGTGTTCCGGATTTTGTAGTCGGAGGGTGCAAGAAGTAACAAGATTTACG